CTTTTCACTTATGATCATTGCAGCATCCCCATGGTCACACAATCAAAATTTGGGCACTTGACAATTGGCATTTATGACTATAGTTCCCAGGACCATGTCATAACCATTTGTAACCTTCCCAGCCAGCTTCCAACAAGGGTAGTCATATTCGCTTAATGACTGCAGTAATTTGCTTAGCAAATTTTTGTGGCAAAAAAAGGTAAGTTTCACTTAACTGCCTTGCTTAGCAACAGAAATTTTGGGCTCAATTATGGCCTTAGATCGCGGACTACCTGTGCCAGAGATTTTGTGCCTAGCCATTTATCTATGAACCATGGTTTTGTTTTCAAATTATTTCCCTATAAATGAATCCTTTTTCAAAATTAAACAATTTAAACAATCAAAATTATAATGCAATATATTTAAAAATGCCATCTTTGAAGGTAACCCCAAAGGAGCAGTTGATCTAAACTACAAAATATTAGCAAACCATATTCTTCCTGTGAGGTGACAGTAGTAACTCCAATTCCAAAAATGGAAGAGTTGAGGCCTGAAGGCAGATTTTTGGAGCTAGCACTTGTTCTCTGGAGCAGATTCTCAAGAGAGGTTAGACATGTGCTATTGCCAACATCTTTAGAAAATGCTGTAAGTCAAACTTTTCCAAAGAGCATTTGTTAAATGTATTGACATGATCTTGAATGTCTGCTGCATTTATTTTCATTTTTTAAAAATTCTGATTTTTAAATCCTTCTTGATTTTATTACTTACTACTCTTACTATCAATGTCTTGATATTGTTTTCAACTTTTGTGCTATTGTAAACTAGAAAGTTTGAAAATATTTTGATAGTATACTGCTCCCCTTTTCACCTATTTCTTTTTACCTATTTTCCAGTTTTAATTGTGACGGGAAAAAGTGGGGGGGGGGACTTTACTAGCCTTGACATATGCTTGGACTAGGAGAGTGGCTCAGTCTACAGCAGAAGCAAACAATCTTTTCCTGGTCAGAAATCCAACTCAGCTTCCAGACCAGACAGTAAATTTCAGGATACTTCAAGATGTGAAGACAAAGAAGACGGGGCCAAAACTGTTTTATGACTGCATATTTGTAGAGCTGCAAGGACAACCTGGACATCCACGTTCATCCTGTATTTGGGAGCTGTGCACCATAAGCTGTACTGACTCAAATCAGATATTTTGCCATCCAGCTCAGCAGCAGGTGATGGATCGCAAGTACCTTGAAAACTAACAGTGGGAAAGCTGGCCCTATCTATATGCTCATACATAAGCATTGACAGCTTCCAAAGATGTGACTGCTTTTCTTCTTTAAGGAGAAGCGCATCCCTTGTGCTGATGATGCTTTGTAGTCAAATGCTTTCCATTGCCCTGAGGCAAAGATAGCTGACAGAAGTTGATAGAGCCAGTGTTTCTCAACCTTGACAATTTTAAGGCATGTGGACTTCAACTCCCAGAATTCCACAGCCAGAAACACTGTGATAGACGGTGGCTGTATCTTAAACATGAAGACTGACTGTAGTTCTGCTATTACATGAAATGAAAGTTTAAACAGAAGACAATTGAGTCTATAAACAGCATGCCATGCTTCAGAAGACCACCAGCTAACATGGCTACAATTGCATGGCAAATGCTGATTTCCAGTTTTCTCCGAAACCTTATTCTGAAAAATATTAAAAAGTAAACCACAAATCCCAGTCCAATGCTTTCAAACATCCCACCACTCAGATAATGTCACAGCACCAAGTCTTCTGCATTCCTGTAGCCAGAATAAATTGTTATCTACATTTCAACAATCTTAAATTGTTCATTCCGGATTTAAAATATTTTGGAGATGCTGGGCTTATGAAAACAAACACAAGAATGGAACTAAAAGATTAGAGCCATGGAGGTGCAGTGGTTAGAATGCAGCAGTGCAGTGGTTAGAATAAGTCACTGCTCACTACAGGTGTTCTATTGAGTGGATCAAGGCTGACTCAGCCTTCCATCCTTGAGGTTGGTAAAACAAGGACCCAGATTGTTGGCAGCAATATGTAACTTTGTAAACCGTTTGGAGAAGGCTGTAAAGCACTATGAAGCGGTATTAGTGCTATTGCTATTACACCAGGGGGTCAATAACCTCAGGCCAGCGTGAAACCATCCCCTCTTCTCCCCCCAACCAGAAAAATTGGGGACCGCTGGATTACACTGCTAATGACTCATATAAAAAGACAGGTTTTAAGCTGATTTGGGGAGGAAAGTAGTTGTTGGGGAGCATCCAACTCAAATCTTTTAAAACAGCGATAAACAAGATTTAACTTGATAAATCTCCAATTATATCTTGTTAGAAACAGTTCAGGCATAATGCAAGCCAGCGACTGAGAAGGCTGCAGCAGTTTAGTAGAGGATCACTTATGAGCAATGCTGGAATTTGCAGCATAACTAACTGCAGAAGGGGAATACAGGTAATCTTCTACTACAGCCACAATTGGGACCAGAATTTATGTCATTAACAAGGCAGTTAAGTCACAACCAAATTCATGATGTTTTGCCATAGTTAAAGTGAATCACGAGGTTGTTAATTTCCCACATTGATTGTCAGAAGCAAGCTGGAAAAGTCACAAATGGTGATCAGTTGATCCTGGGATATTGCTGCCATCATAAATATATGCTCGTTGCCTGAATGTTGATCGCATGACTGTAGGGATGCTGGGAAAGTGGCTAGCATGAGGACAGGTCAGTCATATTTTTTGAATGGTCACCATATAAATGGTTGTTAAATCAAGGACTATCTCTAACTAGTGGATGTGGTAAACTAGAGTAAAACTAATACAAATTCAAAGAATGGATTATAGAAAGGAATTTCTTCTATACATACTATAAGACCTAGAAATCTGTAAAAATACATGCAAGTCTGAAGAAATATCGCAAGAGATATCATTAATCTCAAAATAATTTAGTACTGGGGATGTAGTTTCTTTCTCCTGACCTAAATACTCAGGATGATCTAAAACGAAATCAGGAAAAGAATCAAAAGAGCATTGCAGAAAGAAGTAACTTCAATTAACTTCACAAAGCACTGGATAAACATCAATGTACAACAAAGGAGTTTCTAAAACTCTTCAGAATAAAGATCATTTAAACTTTAAATTCCTAGTACAATTCTCAGCTACTATTAGATGCAAGTTATTGAACTATTGGAAAGAAAACAAAAATCACATTTCATTTATTTGTCCATAGAAAATTATCATAGCAGTTCACTAAACCACATTTTATTTCAAGAGGAAATTTCTGAAAACTTAGGGTCAGTAAAAAAAGAAATTTAAAGGGAAAGTTGTCAAGTCAAATAGTTCTAGAATCTTTAAAGAATAGTTAACATATAAATGCCTGCAAATGTATTAGTCCATGAAGCTATTAGCAGATAGTAAAAGCCTTCTTCAAAAACTGGAAGGCTTGTTGAAACCACAGAAAGAAATTAAATTTAACCAAATAAATGGAAATTTAGAATGGATGCAAAGTATGCCAAGAACAAGTAATCAGAACTTTAAACACACTGGAAGTCAGTAATCTGGCTAGAATGGTAATTAGAATATTGGATAAAGAATGACTTAATGAGATTGCAGAAAAATATTTTGTCTTCATTACTTACCAGGTAAGGTAGATGACTTTGTCAAAACTTGTTGGTTTCTAGTAAGGGTTTTAGGAACTTCTATAAACAATAAAAAACTGAGATATGGGGCTGGGTTTGGCTTTTTTAGAGAAATGATAAAACAAATCCGAAGGATAATGAAGCAATTAGTTTTGCTATTTTTTTACAAAATGTCTCTGTGATTGTTTGCAAGACAGGAAAGTAGGCAACCTAATTCAAAAGAATTTGAACAGGCATGCCTTTATATTCTGTTCTCAAATGATCTGAAGTTAGGGCTAAGCAATGAGTTTAGGAGTCGACTCCAACTTTAATACATTGGTTGGAAAAATAACCAGCAGTTCCAAGAAGTTATCTCCAAATTTTAAGAATGCATACTAATATTGCCCAAATGTAAGCAAAAACTAATTGTTCACACTTAATACAGCATTAGCTGAGATATATCAATAGTAAACATGTCTTGCGATGGGCAGCACAGTAAAAGGTAAAATAATTTGTGGCTTCAGGGAGAAAGACCAAATTGAACACACTGAACACATCTAGTTCATATAGATTACAATATTATTCAAGAATCAGTAAAGATGCAAAAAGGAGCAAGCAAAATGATCAAGGAAAGCACAAATACCATACAAGGAAATGTTAGAATGTGGAACTACTTGGGTGCAGAAACCAGATTTGTTTAAAATACTTCACTTGTAGAGTCCTTTTCACATGTAATTTGATACAAATATTCACATAACACACAATCATGGATCAGTGGAGAATAAAAGCCATCAATAGCTATTAATCTAAAGGCTTTTCTCTCAATTGTCATAAACCGTATTCTTCTACATGTTATTTGCTAGGGAATACTTAACACTTGTTTATGGCCTTCCCAAATGTTAATTGCTCATTGCAACAGAAGACTGGATAGAAGTTTGTTTTCCTTTATACTGCTGCCATGTCCTTAAATAAAATATCAAATGCAACTTACTTAACTGAAATGGACATTCAAGGAATGTATTTTCAGTCCAGAGCAAAATGCTGTAGCATGATTCGTGATAGCTACTAAATCAGCCTCTTAAGCTTAAATCATAGTTCTCCAAAGCCTCAAATTACAAATCTAAGTTTAAAACTATCAAAAGGTAATTTGTCCCCTTTATCAACTACAGAATACCAATAACTGAATTCGGCTACAGCATGTCAACAGGCGTGTCACCATCTCAATACAAATTGTAATTTTAAAATTTTCTAGTATGGTGGCCTATGAACAATGTTCAGCTGTATTCTAAATTAATATGATTACACCAGCCATACTGCTTTTAAATAGGTACTGCAGTTGGTTTTCTAGAGGCCATGCACAGTGTGATGGTCTTAATATATAGTGGAGAAGACTATCAGGCATTCCCACAGCTGCAATGTTGTTTTATTTTCTTTTATATACATTCAGCAAAGACAGATGTCTCATAGCTTATCCAATGCCATGAATATAATCACAGTGAAAAATGGGTATTATCAGAAATTGGACTTTATCGTTTCCCCCTTATTAGAGCGGCAATTTAAAGCCAATCTAAGTCTTAACACATAGCAACATACTTTGTAAATTGAACATGTGCATATTATAAAGATTTATGATTTCATTTCCCACAGTCATGTAATAGTGGAAGGCACTCACTTCACAGCTAATGACAGTGTCAATACATAGCTGGGCCTCTGAAACTCCTGAAAAGCATTACATAAATATATAAGGCTATTAAAAACAAAACTGTGCAACTATAAAACCATGTGACAGTGAGAAAGAGGTCAAAAATCTCATGAAAGATTTCAACATACTCCAAAACTGAATAAAGCAAATCTATACTTTTTTTTTATTTTTTTAACAATTTGCCAAGACTGGAATGAGAGATAAATAGAAGGCACAACAATTTTGTTTCGGTTTTAATACAAATACAAACTAAACATGAAAAAGTCCCTATTTCAATAAAAAAAATTTTTTTTTACAAGTTCAGGAAGAGTGTTTTAAAGAGTCAAGTTCTAGACATTTAAAACCTATCCCACAATCCTTGTAAGTGGTAAAACAGTAGTGAGAATTCCTTTTCGTGATCGTGTACCAAAAGAAAATATTCTATGAATACCCTTTATTCCACTTTTACAACGCCACAAAAAAAAAAAAAAAAGGGTAACGTCGATTTCCAAACAGCAACATCTCCAGACTGGGAATGAAGAGGTCCTATGACCCCCACCTCCCAAGGGGTGTACAGATTTCCCTGCCCTTGAAATGTTTGTCAGGTGCTAGATTTTCCTATAGGCTCCAGAACACATGCAGGTAAAAAGGGTAATTCCACTGACTAAAGCGCACCTCATGTCAGTAAGGAAAAAAAGAAGAAGAAAAGCGCCACACTTCCATTAGGAAAAAATCACTGGTACCAAAAAAATATATATATATATCCAGTCCATATGTCTGCAGCAAGCGAGCAAGGATTTGGTAATTCTTTCTAAAATCCATCTTTTCCTGAAATATTGTTCCACAAAGCTGGAATCTGGGACAAGGACTAGGAAGAAAAATCACAAAACCAAACACAAACAAAATGAGCCAAAATTGTATCAAACGTAGCAGTCTATAACAGGGTAGGACCACATTCCAAGATACCCAAGGCTGAAATTCACAAATCTGCAGGAAGAAGGGTTTGTCTCCTCTCATCATCCATTAATCACTGGCGTTGCCCGATGCCCCTTCCAGTGCCAAATCCTGGTTTCTGAGACATTCCCCCACGTGGAGGGCCTCGAATCCCACCTCCCAGCCCCCCACGGGTGCCACCAGGCCCACGGGGTCTGTTGTCTCGGCGATCACCCTCCCTGGCTGCTCGTGTTTTTTTCTCTTCAACATTCAAGCGCACTTCTCCTCTGAACATGATTGGCTATAAGAGAAACGAGACAAAAATCAAGAGACCAAAAAAAAAAAAAAAAAAAAAGCCATTCAGAAAAGTGAATAACAGAAGTACAATCCAAGTCTATTCAGAAGCAAGATTCACTAGATTCACCATGATCTCTTTCTGAGGAATACAGGATTGCAACCTAATTCATTTAATCTTCCAAAAGGCTAAAAGATAAGGCTGTGGATCCTACCACCTGTTTCGAAATAGGTATGTGTGTTTCTGTGAATTTAAACCATCCCGTATTCCTTTATTTTTTAACAAGTTGGGATTACTTATGAAGTTCCTGTACAAAGCCTAAGAACACTGGATGCTCCCCTGTCCATCATACTGGTCTCATTTCAACATATAATAGGGTATTGTTTAGGAGATAAGGGCTATTGCATTTCCTATTCTGTCCTTCAGAGCTTCCTGAAAATCCAAGGGAACAATTTCGTATGTGGGGTCCAAGCAATCCACAATTATTCACTAATCTGGCAAACCACCCTCACACATTTACTATTATGGTTTCAAAAAGTACCGAAGAATCCTAATATATAAGATTACACAATAGTGCTTTTAAAAAATCTTTCTGAATAACTAGAGTATGAAATTGATATTTAATAATTATTTTAAATGAATACTGCACATTAATTGCAGTAATAATCTAATTTGTAACTATGTAACACTCTTGTTAATTCCATTTTAACAATCATTTGCCAACATAAAAGCAGAAGCATTCCAGTGATTATTTTTTTGTTTTTAATACAAATATTTTCTGTTTTACTTCAAAGGGATAGATATTTAGCAAAGTTCAACATGGTCATATCACTTAAAGTTTATTAATTTCAATGTAATGTACCCTATTGCCGAGGATCTTCTGAACTGGTTCTGGATCATCAAATACCACAAATCCAAAGTTAGGGAGTTTTCCTCCACTGTTGATACGCAGTTCTACAACGTTTCCATAGCCTGCAAGAGAGTTTCCAAGTTCTTTGATCATACATTAGACTGTTCTGTGAAAATAAGCATGTACTTTTAAACGCCACCAATAGCAAACTCCAACCAATAGAAAAGCAATGTTCACAGCTTACTTTGAAAGAAGTCCTTTAGTTCCGATTTATCAACATCATGAGGAAGGTTCCCAACAAAGAGCTGGTGACTGTCTGGGTACCTCACAATCCGTCTGGTTTCCATGTCACCCTGTTCTCCTTCCCGTACTTAAATAAATGATAATTATGGCGTAAGAATATCATGAGGTTAAAGAAAATGAAACAGAATCTATCTTAACCTTTGTTTATAGTAAAAAAAATGCTAAAGTCATTAATTAGGCAAATGAAATTACAAACAGGATGCAACAATTGATCTAGTTATTCCTATTCAAGAGGCTTCATTATTGACATGTAAGTGGCATCTTACCAAAGCCTTCAAAGTAGAATAAAGTAAAGAGCCGTGGTGGTGCAGTGGTTAGAATGCAGTACCGCAGGCTACTTCTGCTGACTGCCTACTGCCAGCAGTTTGGCAGTTCGATTCTCACCGGCTCAAGGTCGACTCAGCCTTCCATCCTTCCGAGGTTGGTAAAATGAGGACCCAGATTGTTGGGGATGATATGCTGACCCTGTAAACCGCTTAAAGAGGTCTGTAAAGCACTGTGAAGCGGTATATAAGTCTAAGTGCTATTGCTATCCACATAAAATTAATTTGGACTCATTCTTTCCAACTCTTAAGCAATATTTTTGTATTTTTTTAGCCTAAGCACAGGAGTTGGGAAGTTTTAATTATTTTATTTAAATAATGAATTCCCTTTTAAAAACCATACAATATCACCACCATACAATTATTCTGTATGCCAAACACAGAATTTAGTTTTCTTACTTGTCCTAGGGCCTCTTTGTAGTGGGATGTTTGTCCGTTGCTCTCTCACCCTCTGGTCCCGCTGAGGTCTCTGGGGTGGAGTTTGGGATTCGGGCTTAGATTCAGGACGGGGCTGAAAATGTACCAGCACAAAATGAGAGACTACAAAAGACAAGTAAAATTAAATTTATTCTGTCTGCAACCATTAAGAACCTACGGAAAACAGGGAAAACAAGCTTAAAAGATGGAATGGAGAAAATGAAGCCCTTTCTTTCATTTAGCACACTTGAGCATTGAAGCCGGCAGAAGTCATACTGAATTGGAAGCACTGGTGATAAATGCTTCCTTTCCACAGTGTTTTTCATCCATTTCTGGTGATAATAGCAATATATGGTTGCATTTTATCTTTAATGTGGCAATGTCTCTTCAAAATGATGAGGAGAAAACAAGTCCAAATGATATGGCCAGGAGACAATTTTATAGTTAGAAGCAAATCCCTCTAGAGCACGGGTGTCGAACTGCCGGCCCGCGGGCCGGACGCATCACAACAAAACCACACCCACCCTATTGCCGACAATAGGGAAAAAGTTCCAATATGTCGCATGACGTCACGTGACATCGCAAGTTTGACATGTCTGCTCTAAAGCCTAGTGTTTTTAACTAAAAAAATACCCATTCCCATTCTTCTTAATCAAATTTTCTCTTCAGGAATTTTAGAAAGAGGCTACAGTTATTGGGAGTGGGAGAGCCAATAAAATTGATGTGAAACCTATTATTGCTACTTTTTCTTTTAATATTGTGTTTACTTGAAATCCCCAAGTTAAGAACATCCAACTTACAGATAACTTGCGTAGTCTGCCTCTTACTAAAAATGGCAGATGGCACTCTCCTTAAGCCAACGAACTGCTGAAGTTGTGCAATGTTTTCATGAATTGCTGAAGTTGCATATTTTTAATATATAGTCTGTTATCAGTGATTTTCAACATTCATTGAAACAGTGCGCAACTTCAGCAGTTTGCTGGTTTAAGGAAAGAGAGTGCCATTTGCCACCTATGCTGAACACGCCATAAACAACTGACTAATGCTAAAAATTCAAATTAATTCTAAATTCAAGGCATCTATAGATTGTATTAAATCTGTTGATTACTCTTGCATGCATTTGATGGGCGGTTCCTACCTGTGATGTAGGCAATTTAACAACATGGGGTGGTATGCCCGATACTGGAACTGCTCCACTGGGCGGTAAATTCTTACTGGTCACAGATGCCCATGAAGATGTCTGGGAGAAAGAAAAGCTTTATTAACGATAGAAGATACCTATTCTTCAAGGCTGCCCCTTTCAACTTCTAGCTTTTTTTTGCAATTCCACTAGTACAGTCTCATTTATTTACATGATTAAGTATATACTCAATATTTAGTATTTGTCACCATTTAAATTTTTCCTTCAAATTATCTCAGCAGTTAAGAATAAAACTTAAAAAATAATTGGTTCTAAGTACTGGCAATTAACAAGACCAAAGATCATTAATTTTGCCTACTAAAGTTGCCTTTCAATGCTTTGTTACTGCATAGCTCTGGGGTCTTCAAACTTGGCCCTTTTATGACTTGTGGACTTCAACTCCCCGAATTCCCCATCCAGGCACGCTGGCTGAGGAATTCTGGGAGTTGAAGTCCACGTGTCATAAAAGGGCCAAGTCTGAAGACCCCTGGCATAGCTAAACCATAAATCGGAAGATTTATAGACATCTGTTTCTTATATCATACTACATTTCGATGCAAATACTGATGCTTACATCGGAGTTCCTTCCCGCTATGGAGTGCTTTCCATAAGCGGAATGACTAAATCTAACAAAGGCACGATACGTTAAAACAGTTCTCTGTGTTGTATAACCATAATCTCTTAGCTGCAAATAGGACTTAGATAAATCTCATTATCACACTGTAGGTCACAGTAATGAATTGCAAGTGATTGTTTCAAATTTCCTCAACTGCTGGTTGGTTTCCAGAAATATGGTATATTTGTCACTGGGTGTCTATGGAGATATTGTCATTTTGTCGATAAGCTGTAAGTGAAACATCTTATAACTGTATAGCAGGAGTGTCAAACTGCCAGCCCATAGGCCGGACGCGTCACACGGAAGCCACACCCACCCCATTGCCGGCAATGGCAAAACTGTCCCGATACGTTGCACAACATCACGTGAGGTCACGAGTTTGACATGTCTGCTGTATAGGAAAAATGTGAGGATTTTGGTAGTGCTTTCAGTTCACACTCTATTTTAAGGGTATCTATTAGATTGGGTGACACAATAACTTTAAAAACAGATTTAACAGTAATTAATTTAGTGGTGCAATTTTAGGGAACTAAAAGTTCATGGAGAAGGAAATGGCAAACCACTCCAGTATCTTTGCCATGAAAACCCCATGGACAGTACTAAAAGGCAAAAAGATATGACGCTGGAAGATGAGCCCCTCAGGTCGGAAGGTGTCCAATATGCTACTGGGGAAGAGCAGAGGGCTAGTACTAGTAGCGCCAGAAAGAATGAAGCGACTGGGCCAAAGCCGAAAGGACGCTCAGCTGTGGATATATCTGGTGGTGAAAGGAAAGTCCGATGCTGTAAAGATTTTTTCTCCATAGGAACCTGGAATGTAAGATCCATGAATCAAGGCAAGCTAGACGTAGTCAAAAAAGAGATGACAAGACTGAACATCGACATCTTAGGAATCAGTGAACTAAAATGGACAGGAATGGGTGAATTTAACTCAGATGACCATCAGGTATACTACTGTGGGCAAGAATCCCTCAGAAGAAATGGAGTAGCCTTCATAGTCAATAAAAGAATAGGAAAAGCAATACTGGGATACAATCCCCAAAATGACAGAATGATCTCAATTCGAATCCAAGGCAAACCATTCAATATCACAGTAGTCCAAATCTATGCCCCAACCACTGGTGCTGAAGAGGATGAAATTGACCGGTTCTATGAAGCCCTACAGCACCTTATAGAATTAACACCAAAAAATGATGTCCTTATCATCATGGGGGATTGGAATGCTAAGGTAGGAAGCCAAAAGATAACCGGAATAACAGGCAAGTTTGGCCTTGGAGTACAAAATGAAGCAGGGCACAGGCTAATAGAATTTTGTCAAGAGAATACGATGGTCATAACAAACACTCTTTTCCAACAACCCAAGAGACGGCTCTACACATGGACATCACCAGACGGTCAACATAGAAATCAGATTGACTATGTGCTCTGCAGCCAAAGATGGAGAAGCTGTATACAGTCAGTAAAAACAAGACCAGGAGCTGACTGTGGCTCAGATCATGAGCTTCTCGTTGCAAAATTTAGGCTTAAATTGAAAAAAGTAGGGAAAAGCACTAGGCCACTCAGGTATGAACTAAATCATATTCCTGATGAATATACAGTAGAGGTGACAAATAGATTTAAGGAATTAGATCTGATAGACAGAGTGCCTGAAGAACTATGGATGGAAGTTCGCAACATTGTACAAGAGGTAGCAACTAAAACCATCCCAAAGAAAAAGAAATGCAAGAAAGCAAAATGGCTGTCTGAGGAAGCTTTGCAAATAGCTGAGGAAAGAAGGGAAGCGAAAGGCAAGGGAGAAAGAGAAAGATACACCCAATTGAATGCAGAATTCCAGAGAGTAGCTAGAAGAGATAAGAATGCCTTCTTAAATGAACAGTGCAAAGAAATAGAAGAAAACAACAGAATAGGGAGGACCAGAGATCTCTTCAAGAAAATTGGAGATATGAAGGGAACGTTTCATGCAAAGATGGGCATGATAAAGGACCAAAATGGCAGAGACCTAACAGAGGCAGAAGAGATTAAGAAGAGATGGCAAAACTACACAGAAGAACTATACAAGAATGAGCTTAACATCCCAGATAACCACAATGAGATGGTCATTGACCTCGAACCAGACATCCTAGAATGTGAAGTGAAATGGGCCTTAGAAAATCTGAGCAACAACAAAGCTAGTGGAGGTGACAGTATTCCAGCTGAGCTATTCAAAATCTTAAAAGACGATGCAGTAAAAGTGCTACACTCAATTTGCCAGCAAATTTGGAAAACTCAACAGTGGCCACAGGATTGGAAAAGGTCAGTTTACATTCCAATTCCAAAGAAAGGCAATGCCAAAGAATGTTCTAACTATCGCACCATTGCACTCATTTCACATGCTAGTAAAGTTATGCTTAAAATCCTACAAGCTAGACTCCAGCAGTATGTGGATCGAGAACTACCAGAAGTACAGGCAGGATTTCGAAGAGGCAGAGGAACTAGAGATCAAATTGCCAACATACGCTGGATCATGGAGAAAGCTAGGGAGTTCCAGAAAAACATCTACTTCTGCTTCATTGACTATGCAAAAGCCTTTGATTGTGTGGATCACAACAAATTGTGGCAAGTTCTTAAAGAGATGGGAGTACCAGACCATCTCATTTGTCTCTTGAGAAACCTATATGCGGGTCAAGAAGCAACAGTGAGAACCGAACACGGAACCACTGATTGGTTCAAAATTGGAAAAGGAGTCCGGCAAGGCTGTATACTGTCGCCCTGCCTATTTAACTTATATGCAGAGCACATCATGAGAAAGGCAGGGCTAGATGAATCAAAAGTTGGAATTAAGATTGCCGGGAGAAATATCAACAACCTAAGATATGCAGATGATACCACTCTAATGGCAGAAAGTGAAGAGGAACTAAAGAGCCTCTTGATGCGGGTGAAGAAGGAGAGTGCAAAAGTTGGCTTGAAACTCAACATTAAGAAAACCAAAATCATGGCATCCGGCCCTCTCAATTCCTGGCAAATAGATGGGGAAGAAATGGAGGTAGTGACAGATTTTATTTTTCTGGGCTCCAAGATCACCTCAGATGGGGACTGCAGCCAAGAAATTAAAAGACGCTTGCTCCTGGGGAGGAAAGCTATGGCAAATCTAGACAGCATACTAAAAAGCAGAGACATCACCCTGCCAACAAAAGTGCGTATAGTCCAGGCCATGGTTTTCCCAGTTGCAATGTATGGCTGTGAAAGTTGGACCATAAGAAAGGCTGAGCGCAAAAGAATTGAGGCCTTTGAACTATGGTGCTGGAGAAGACTCCTGCGAGTCCCTTGGACTGCAAGGCGTTCAAACCGGTCAGTCCTAGAAGAGATCAACCCCGACTGCTCTTTAGAAGGCCAGATCCTGAAGTTGAAACTCAAATACTTTGGCCACCTAATGAGAAGGAAGGACTCACTGGAGAAGGGCCTAATGCTGGGAAAGATTGAGGGCAATAGAAGAAGGGGACGACAGAGAATGAGATGGCTGGATGGAGTCACTGAAGCAGTAGGTGTGAACTTAAATGGACTCCAGAAGATGGTAGAGGACAGGAAGACCTGGAGGAACGTTGTCCATGGGGTCGCGATGGGTCGGACACGACTTCGCAATTAACAACAACAACAAAAGTTCCCTAAAATAGAAAGTTCCCAGAAAAATAATTGGTGGGATCCTGTTTCAAATGAACATTTTTTTAAAAAAGTAAAAGAACAACTTTATTGAACGACAACATAGAAAAAATTCTTGTATTACTCTAGAGTCTTCTTGCACAACAGGTGTTGGATCTGCAGGAACTGGAGAAGGACTCTTTTCAATAGTTTCCTCAGGAGCTGCTTCCTCTACCACTAGGTCAGGTTTTTCTTCTTGAACTTCTACTTCAGGCTCTTGTTCAGGTTCAGCTTCTGGTTCCGGTTCTGGTTCTACAACCGGTTCTTCTAGCTGTTCCTCCAAGTCATTGCTGCCGATGAAAGATCTTTTCATTATAGGCAGCAATTTGTCTACACAGTTCAATAACCATCTTAACTCTTTCTAAATCCTACATAGTAGGGCAGTGGTGGCGAACCTATGACACACGTGCCAGAGGAGGCATTCAGAGCCCTCTCTATGGGCACATGCACCATGCCCCAGAAGATGGCAACCGTCCTCTTCAACCAGCCGCCTGCTAACTTGCCAAGGTCCCACGTGGCCGGATGCATCCCATCACCCATGTGCTTGCTGGCCTTTGTGTGCAGAGGCCGATGGTGTCAGGCAGCAGCCGCCCCGGCCCCTGCCTCGCCTTGCCCTGCGACATGGCACCCCCACCCTGCCTCGCCTCATCCCACAGAACCAGCCTCCTGCCCACTGCCCCACCCGCCAGAAACCCCTGGATCTCCCCCAACCCTGCCCGGCCCCACAGGCATCCCTCCCCAGGAGCAACATCGAGCTGGCCATGCCCATCCTGGCCACGCCCACCTGTCTGCCATGACCACTGTAGCCACGCCCACCCAGCGGGCCATACCCACCCGGCACTCAGCAATACATAAGTGGGTTTTGGGTTGAAGTTTGGGCACTCGGTCTCTAAAAGGTTCGCCATCACTGTAGTAGGGTATTTATAAAATGTTCAGTTATTTATAAAATGTTCAACATAATAATTTAATTCAATTCTATACTGGCCTGCAAAAATGTTTTCTTGGATAAAGTCAGTAATACCTCCATTTAAAAAAATAAAAGATTCTTTCATTCTTTTTCTTTGAACTACATACGGAAAATATGCCTTCCAAATACATTATTTCCAAAAATGAAAGGAACTGGTAGGTGTTTACATATTCTAAGAACAAGATTGCCAATGACTGCTGAATGGTGAAAATTTGACTCTAGAATTAACAATGGACTTCTGTTCTTTATCAGCAGTGCTGTGAGAGGCGACTTGTAAACAAAAGTGAGGTTAGACTGGATGTTCCGAGAACTGGACTTTTATTTCAGCTAGAGCAAGAAAAGACAGGATAACTGGAATGTTGGGTTGACTTACCTGACCGACTGTTCATAGTAAGCTGCTGAATCATCCGCAACTGCCTCCGGAGTCTGTTGCCTTTCCTCAGGCTCTTCTGCCTCTTCCTCAGATTCTGGTGAGGGAGGAAAAAAAACTTTGTACCCTACTTTGTACCAATTAAAAGGAAAAGCTCATAATGTTCATTCAATCTTTTATGGCTTACTAAATATATGTACATTTTAGATACATGTACATTTTTAATAGACAATAATGGGGTCAAATGCACACATGGGAAAGAGGTTAAAGGTTTTTGGGTTGCTCTGGTTTCCAGGCATAGCAAAATCTTGAGAGAATAAATAAAATAACGGAATAAAAGGAATAAGCAAGGAAGGACATGTTGTCTGCTCTCCCACTCCTCCTCCACAGAGACCAGGGGTCCCCAAACCATGGGCCGGGAGATTTGCAACCAGGCAATGGAAACAGCGGGCAAGTGCAAGCACATGCATCTTCACTTGCGCATCAAGCGAGCGCGTGCACGCCATTTAAATAAGCAGCAGGCACGTATGCATATTGCTTGCACAAATGGAGCTACATGCATGTGCACAAGCTTGCCAGCCACTTGCATGAATCAACCCCTCTCCCCCCCCCTTCCCAGTCTGCAAAGCCGGAAACATTGGGAACTTTGACATAAGGTACTAGTCAGCAAATCCCAATTATAGGTAGTCCTTGATTTACAACCAATCATTTAGCGACAATTCAAAATTATAATGGTACCGAAAAGTGACTTATGACTATTTTGCAGAGCATCCCCAGTCACATGCTCAAAATTCAGATGCTTGGGAACTGGCATGTATTTATGACAGCTGCAGTATCCCAGGCTCAGGTGATCATCTTTTGCAACCTTCTGACAAGCAAAGTCAATGGGGAAGCCAGATTCACTTAACAACTGTGTAACTAACTTAACTGTGGCAAGAAAGATCATAAAATGGGGCAAAACTCACTTAACAACTATCTTGCTTAGCAACAGAAATTGTGGGCTCGATTGTGGTTGTAAGTCGAGGACTATCTGGACACAGTGACTTTCTTCTCTTGCTTCATATCCACTGATGTCTCAGGAAGGCATATCCTGTCAATCTTTTCATTCATCTTCCTAGCAACTTTCCTCTGACTCAATTCCCAGACTGATATATCACACCAGACAAATCCATCCTTATCTTCCGGAGCTTCCCTTTACCCCCCCCCCCCCAAGCTGCCAATATCCTTGGCTTTTGCTTGACTTCCCCCACCCGAAAAAGAATTTTCATTTCATGGATAGATCAAAACACTCAAAACTTTTATTTTTAACCTTGGTACAGAACACCCAAAACCTATTGTCCCATGCATTCTATTTCTGCCTATCCTCACCACCAAAGTTTGGCTATTTACTGAATTGCCAGTTTCAGAAAAGAGGCTGAACCCATTAGTGAACTGAAAAAGGCATCCCTCCAATATAGTCTTTTCCTATTATTATTTCAGACTGTATAAAGATTTCATCAACTTCTCTATCAGGCTTACATCAATTAATCAGACTAGGACAGCAACACAAGTAATCTATGACTTACAATTGTTCATTTAGTGACATTTTGAGTTATAACGGTACTGAAAAAAATGACCTATCACCATTTTTCACACTTACGATTGTTGAAGCATCCCACGGTCATGTAATCAAAATTCAGATGCTTGGCAACTGACTCATATTTATGAATGTTGCAGTGTCCCGGGGTCATGTAATCACCTTTTGCAACCTTCTAACAAGCAAAGTCAATGGGGAAACCAGATTCACTTAACCGTGTTACTAACTTAACAACTGCGGCAAGAAAGGTTGTAAAATGGGCTAAATTCATTTGACAACTGTTTCACTTAGCAACAGAAATCTCGGGCACAATTGTGATCATAAGTCAAGGACTATCTAGAAAGGTCTGAAAATATATTACAATGTAAAACAACACGTTCATGAAGAAAGCATTTCTAATGATAATTCAGTTTATGGTAATTTAGCTTTCTTACAACTTAACTATAGAAATACCTGACAGCTAAATAGAACAACAGAGTTGGAAGGGAGATCGGAAATCTTCTTGTCCAAGCCCCTGCTCAAACAGGAGATATCTATAACCATTTCAGACAAATGGTTGCCCAATCTCTTCTTAAAAACTTCCACCCACAACTTTCTGAAGGCAAGTTGTTTAATTGTTCTGTCAGGAAATTTCTCCTTACTTCTAGGTTAGTTCTCTCCTTGATTAGTTTCTATCCATTGCTTCTTGTACTGCCTTCAGGCGCTTTGGAGAATAGGTTGAAAATAGAGATAAACCAAATTTGGCTAACTCATTAATTCTATTAATACACAAATACAGCACAGCATCTGACTGTAATAAAACGGCAGGTTTAAGTTAAGTTAAAGATTGAAATCAATAGCTGTTTTTAGTTTAGTATTTTAGTATAGAAAAACAGAATTTCTGATCAAAGGAAGAATGATAAAGTACAGATTTTCAGGGTCCTATTTTTAGATCTCACAAGTTTTAGGTAGCATTATCCTTTTTCTCGCTCATATCTTTTCACTGATTTTCACTGTTATGGTAAATTTAGTTCTGCTTCCTCTTTGGAAGTATAAACAGGTGCTGCACTTGGGTTTTATACCTAAGCAGAGTCACACATGGTTAATACTTTTATGGAGACATCAAGGGCTGTAAACTAGACTAAAGTAAAGTAAAAGGTAAAATCACCAGAAGCTTAACAGTGGCCACTTGTATAATGCTACCATGTAAATAGCACGGACAAATTCACCAAATCATTAGGATTTGAAAGAGATCCTACCTTTTTATTATTCAAAGGCATCTTTAAATTATGCAGACAAGTCATGATTTGGCCATTTCACTATTTAGAGGAGTTATTAACCAAAAAACAGTCATAAACACAAAATTAAGATTATGGAGCTTACCCTCTGGAGGTTCAGCATTCAAATCACCAAAAACTTCATCCTGATAGCGAAATATGTCATTATGGACATAAAACTTGTTGGCAACTGATCCCTGTTGACAATACAATGTGAAAAATAAAATTCAGCAGTTTGCTCACCACATATATTTGGTTCCATTCTGTCATCCCAAAATCATTTGCAGGTAGTCTCGACTTACAACAGTTTGTTTAGTGACTGTTCAAAGTTACATTACAACGGCACAGAAAAATGGAACTTGTGACCATTTTTCAGTTACAACCTTTGCAGCATCCCCGTGATCATGTGATCAAAATTCAGATGCTTGGCAACTGGTTCATACTTATGGCCACTGCTGCCAAGGCCATGTGATCACCTTTTGCGATCTTCTGACAAGCAAAGTCAATGGGGAAGCCAGATTCACTTAACAGTCTGGTTTCTAATTTATCAACTGCAGTGATTCATTTAACAATTGTGGCAAGAAAGGTCATAAAATGGGCCCAAATTCAATGAATGTCTCACTTAAAAACAGAAATGTTGGGCTCAATTGTGGTTGTAAATTGAGGACTACCTGTACTGGAATTTCAGTCCAAAACAGTTTTAGCTATATGTGCTATTCAGAAAATACAAGGAAAGACTTGCACAGCTGACTTAACCATTGATTTCTGAACTCTCTCAATCACTTCAAGCAAAATACAACAATCGAGCTCAATGACTAAGAGACAAGAATGAATTTTCTTAATTTTAGTGATAGACATTCTACTACCGTGTTTCCCTGAAAATAAGCCCCACCCCAGAAAAAAGATCTATCCTGATTTTTGGGGTGGGCCTAATATAATAAGCCCTAATTAGGACACCGCCCATTCCATCCCACATCACTGCTGCAATGTTGCAGGAGGCCACGCGGCACATCGCCACTGCTACAAGGCGAGATAGGTGGGGGAGGGGTGGAGTTGCCCCATGCGCCCCGCACTCGCTTCCTTCAGCCCCCCCCCCCAGCCAGGTCATTCCTTGCTCGGCGACCTTCCATTTCACTCCCTTCCCCAGCCGGACTGCCATGCTAAGGAGGATGGGCGAGGTAGGCCCGGTCCCCCTCCAACGTTTTGGAGCCAACGAGAGAGTGATGGCAGAGGCTCCACTGCACTGTGCGCCGCTGGAGGGGTTTTTTTCATGCTTCGCCCAACAGATTACCTGCCTGGCGGCAGCCACCTCCTTCTCCTCTAACTCTCCCCTGGCTTGCGCCATGACGGAGTGGCACAAGCCTCCCCCTCCACCTCCCTCTGCCAGCCCTCCGTCACCACCACTGGAGAAAACAGAGAGCAGAGCGGCTCTGCGCAGCTATGCAGAGCAGAGAAAGAAATGATCAGTCTATAATTTTAATGGTAGGTTTATTTTAACAGTGAGACAGAATAACAAAAAAATCCAGAAAAACGCATTTCAAAAAAGTTATAAATTGATTTGCATTTTAATGAGAGAAATAAGTATTTGATCCCCTATTAATCAGCAAGATTTCTGGCTCCCAGGTGACTTTTGTACAGGTATCAAGCTGATATTAGGAGCACTCTCTTAAAGGGAATGCTCCTAATCTCAACTTGTTACCTTTATAAAAGACACCTGTCCACAGAAGCAATCAATCAATCAGATTCCAAACTCCACCATGGCCAACACCAAAGAACTGTCCAAGGATGTCAAGGACAAGATTGTAGACCTACACAAGGCTGAAATGGGCTACAAGACTATCACCAAGCAGCTTGGTGAGAAGGTGACAATAGTTGGTGCGATTATTCGCAAATGGAAGAAACACAAAATAACTGCCAATTACCCTCAGTCTGGGGCTCCATACAAGATCTCACCTCATGGAGTTTCAATGATCATGAGAACAGTGAGGAATCAACCCAGAACTACACAGGAGGATCCTGTCAATGATCTCAAGGCAGCTGAGACCATAGTCATCAAGAAAACAACTGGTGACACACTATGCCATGAAGGACTGAAATCCTATAGTGTCCGCAAGGTCCCCCTGCTCAAGAAAGCACATGTACAGACCCATCTGAAGTTTGCCAATGAACATCTGAATGATTCAGAGGAGAACTGGGTGAAAGTGTTGCAGTCAGATGAGATCAAAATCGAGCTCTTTGGCATCAACTCAACTCGCCATGTTTGGAGGACGAATGTTGCCTATGACCCCAAGAACACCATCCCCACTATCAAACATGGAGGTGGAAACATTATGCTTTGGGGGTGTTTTTCTGCTAAGGGAACAGGACAACTTCACCACATGAAAGGGACGATGGATGGGGCCATGTACTGTCAAATCTTTGGTGAGAACCTCCTTCCCTCACCCAGGGGATTGAACATGGGTCGTGGTGGGTATTCCAGCATGACAATGACCCAAAACACAAGGCTAAGGCAACAAAAGAGTGGCTCAAGAAGAAGCACATTAAGGTCCTGGAGTGGCCTAGCCGGTCTCCAGGCCTTAATTCCACAGAAAATCTGTGGAGGGAGCTGAAGGTTTGAGCTGCCAAATGTCAGCCTCAAAACCTTAATGACTTGGAGAGGATCTGCAAAGAGGAGTGGGACAAAATCCCTCTTGAGATGTGTGCAAACGTGGCCAACTACAAGAAACATCTGATTTTTATGATTGCCAACAAGGGTTTTGTCACTAAGTACGAAGTCATGTTTTGCAAAGGGGTCAAATACTTATTTCTCTCATTAAAATGCAAATCAATTTATAACTTTTTTGAAATGCGTTTTTCTGGATTTTTTTTTGTTGTTATTCTGTCTCTCACTGTTAAAATAAATCTATCATTTCTTTGTCAGTGAGCAAACGTACAAAATCAGTAGAGGATCAAATAATCTTTTCCCCCACTGTACAAAGAATATCTAAATAAAAAGAGAAGATTAAGAATGTTAGGATTCAATGAACTGGAAAAATACTCAGAAAGAAGTATTAGAAATAAAAGAATAGGCGATATGTGAATTGATATACAGATGAAAAAATGCAAGTAAGATTTTTCAAGAATAGAGAACTATGAATTCATACAGTGAACAGTGGAATAAACTAGATTTAATTAATTTCCTTCCCTTTTTCCTAATTCATGTCTTCAATTTCTTTCATTCCCCACTTCTCTCTTTTCCACCTTGCAAAAGATGTCCTGGCAACATTATAGGTTTTTGGTTTAGCCGGTAAAAGCCAGATAGTGAGATTTCTTATCTACAACTTGTTAGAGACAGACTTTTATGGTGAAAAATGTCTTACAATAACCTAGCAATACCTAGAATACAAATATGTAGACAAGTATTTCCCTGGCTACGTACCTCAGGAGCAAGGACAAAAGTTTGCATGAATCTCCTCATTGGCTGAGTGTTATTAGACAGCTCACCCATGACCTGTACAACAACACCATCATTAATAGTGGCATGAGCATCCACATGACGGATCTTTGTGCGGCAATCCTTAAAATTCAGTGACAACACCTTCTTGTGGATATCCTAAAGAATAAAATGGGGTCAAGGAAAAATACAATAAAATAAAAATACAATAAAAAAAGATTCTCAGAAATGAAATGCAAGTAGGGATGTGTATATATAAGGAAATATATTTTGTTTTAAATCCAAAACAAATCATTGAGTTCTGGAAGTTCTGACGATCCATTTAGATTGGTAGTAGCTCAGTAGAAAAAATGTAGTACATTTTGACTATTCCAGGTTTCACGTGAAATAAAATCAATAGAAATCTCAGAGCACTAAACCAAAAATCAGAAAACTAGATCATTCTCTCTCTCTTCTCACCCTACACATTTTCCCAGCCTCTTTCTGCTGTCTCCCCCACCTTAGGCATCACTACTTGTGGCTGTCCTGGGGGCCTATTCTTTAATGTAATGATCTCTGCACTAAGAAGCAAGCTTCCAGCACCTTCACTGTTTCACTCTCTTTCTTTCGGCCACTGCCAAGTTTCACATCTTTTTCAAGGAAGACCTAAGTTTTGCTTTTCCTACACCTATCTCCTCCCAACCACTTCTGCAATAGTGTGCTCCATATATGGACTAAACCAGAAGTCCCCAACCTTTTGAGCACCAGGGATCTATTCTGTGGAGAGCGTTTTTTTTCTGTGGATCAGAGGGGGCATGCTTTCATATACTGCCCTGCTCAGGGGTGGGGCGGCGGTAGCGCCGGTGGGACCTTGGGGGTGATAGGGCTGGCGGGATGCCGGGGGGGCAGGGCGCTCAGGGGCGGGAGTAGCACCGGTGGGACACTCGGGGTGGGGCTAACGCCGGCAGGACACTGGGAGGGGCGGCGGTAGCACCAACGGAATGCTCACCACTAGCACGAGTGTGGGGGGGTGCACTGGCCATCTCTTCATGCGGCCCGGTGGCCAAGCAGCCGTGGCCAGGTAGTAGGCCATGGCCCACAGGTTGGGGACCCCTGGACTAAACAAAACTGAAAACTGAACAGAAGATTTTATGCATTTTAGCTTCAAGTATGAGCACAGTATTTGTTTTTAAAAAGGAAGAGACCAAATTTATTCCTTTGTTAACCCAATCCTCTTTTACAAAAATATATAGTTTGATTAAGCTTTCCCATTTAAATTAGATATTTGTGCCACTATATCCAAAATTCAATCTCTACAGAAGGGTAAAGTATAACCAAGTCCCTGAAAAGTATACAATATTTAATTAAAGTAACTTAGCAAAAACCAAGAGACACCCGGGATTATACTAATGCGTAAAGCCTAAGAATGTAGAATGATTTATATCATCTTGTTATTGGCTGTTGCAGTCAAATAGGAAGTCCTGATCCCTACATCCCACTTTAAAAATCAATTTCCAAGTTTGAAGTACTATTTTTTTCTAGACATTTTACATATGACTTTACAAATGCTTACAGATTGTCCGTGAACGGCATCTGCTGGTTTTCCATTTGAATCCAAGCCACCATGAACATATGAAGAATTCTTTCCATAAAATCTGTGAGACAAAAATTTACAAACACTGTATTTACATACAATTTCAATCTACCAGATGCCTTTTCATAACATTTTATCTATTGGCATTAAGCAAGAGATATAGGCTCTTGTTTAATTTGGATCTATAGACAAACAACGATTTATCAAACCAACTTCTGCAATAGATATTGGTAAGGCTCAATCTTTCACCTGCTATGGGTAAGAAATGCAGAAAGAATTTTGATATTATTTCAGGCTTGTCACAATAAAAAACTAAAACTAAATAAAAAATTTAAAGACTAAAAATTGGGGGAAATCAGGTTTTATTTAAGTCGTTAACCTCACATATCTCTTCTAAGTATGTTCAGTTAATTGCTCTCATTTAAGTTGTTTAGTATCTAAAGTCTTCAGCTCTTTTGCAGAAAATTTGGATCCTACTTATATAATTTAAAATATAATAACTTACAAATTCCATCAACTCAAGTAAAGCTAATGAAAGGAGTTGTGGGAATTGTAGTTTGAAATAATGCAATCGATTAGTTTGGGCTTGTTGCCTGATTTTTAGTTATGCATTCTTTGCAAGCTCTTATACCTTACTGCTGTATGTTATAATGTATTTATATAATTAAGAGACACTAGCACTCACTATTCTTTTTTTAAATAAAAAGCTACTTGCAGTCTAAACAAAATATCAGCAAAAAACATAATTTATTTTCCCTTGGCTTGTGCCAAGGAGATAAAGTAGAATTCTGACCCAAAATCTGTAGTTTAATCTTGCTGAAATCAGTGGAGGGATAGTGCCCATAAGGTGATGGATTTAAAATAAATTAATAAATATATGCATACATATTTCATGGGAAGGGAAGGGAAATCTTCAGACTGAGAAAGTCCCTAATTGAAATAAATGTTATATTGGGGTTTGTTTGTTTGTCTTGTTAATATGTTGGCTATGTGCCTCAACGTTTATTGAAGGGGGGGGAAACAGATTCTAATTTTAATTAACTGATTTTCCATCATCAAGTGAGAGCAGAATAAAATCCCTCTTGTTTTTTAAAATAGTGAATTATTCTAATATTTTCAAAAATTATTTTAAAAAATATAATTAGGTCAATTGGAATAGCATGGTCTGCTATTCCACCTATTTTGTGACTGAAATGAAAAATGAAGATGTTCAAGTTCCCATTGTTTCATACGGTCTGAATTCTTGCATCACTTTGAGTTTTGTTCCACTAGAACACTCTATTTCAATTTTTGCTCTGTCAAAACCCAGCCAAACTTAAAATATGAAGCTGCATGTTTGCTTCATCCAGGTACTTGATAACTTGAATTCCAAATAAACTACTGAAAATGCCCCCCCCCAAATTGATGTTTTTATCCTAACATGACAAAATGTACATAAATGACATGACTACATAAGTATTTCCTAACATATGCAATTATTATTCAAGACATACTATCAAGCAGTAAACAACAGCCTAATCAAGAAGCTACCAAGGAGAAAGTAACATCCCACCAACACTGAAAGAGCAACCTATGGTATATAAACAGAAAGGAAATCGCTCTCCTTTCTACCAGTGAAGAATTATCTAGTCTGGTAACAATAAGCCTGCAAACAAATAGGCAAGCTCAGAGTAAGGACTCCACAGTTCAACCCTGAGTACATATATTCTCTTCTACTGATATTATTTATGAATTTGTCCTGACACATTTTTTATCAAGGGCATCATCATAAAGATGAAAAAAACTGAACTATAGCTTCCTTCTGATCTGCATATTAATTACAAAAATGCAAATTAGGCTGGTTAGCATTCAAATATCAAAACAATTTCTCCACATCTTTACTTTGGTATGAAGCTGAGGGGAATTCCAGAAGTTTTTAAAAAAGGCATCTTACTTCACAGAATAGTACCTCTAAAATACAACATAGTATATTTTCTGGTAGAAGTGATACAGATCATCCTCTACTTATGACTGACTATTCAGAATCACAACAACACTGAACAAAGAGATTTATGACCCATGCCCAAAGTTACAGATGTTGCAGTGACCCCCTAGTCATGTGATCAAAATTTGGGCACTTACCCTGCCTACACTTAGGAATCCAGGGGAGCATGCAACTTTCCCCTGATCACCTGACTCTCTCTCATCTATGCTCTTTTGGCCCCTGCTACCTTACCTTGCAGGGCAGCAAGCTAACCCAAAATGGTGTGGCTCACCCAGCTACCTTCTGTCCTAGTTCTGCACCAAACGTTTGCAGCCAGCTGCATTGGCCAAAGCAGAAGCACCTCCTTCCCTTTGCTACCTCCTTTTCATACCCTTTTCATTGTTCATCTACTTCCTTTTTGGACCCAGCTTCTCCTGCAGCCGTTTGCTACACATGGCTAAAGCCAACAATAGTTCAGGAAAGCTTTTTGTTGCTTGTCTGCCTCCCTTTAGGACCCAGCCGAATGCTAGGCCTCCTAGAACCCTCCCCATCCCTCTGAAACACCCAGGCATTCCTTACCTGGGACTCATCTGCTTAACACCCATTATTCTCTATTAATGATCACAATCAGAAGTGCCAGGATTATGGTCTTTGAGCAAAGCAGCCACATGACATCTCGCTTAATGACTGCTTTACTCAACAATTGTCATTTTGGCCCAATTGTGGCTGTAAGACTAGGATTAACTGCAATAGAAAGGAGTGAGGCAGTTCGTGTTCCTTTTAAAATCTGCATCAAATAATTACACAATTGTTGAGAACATATTTTAGAGTGGTACAGAAAAAGCATGTAAATAAGAAATCTGCTTGCATACTACCAAATTTTAAGGGGTAATTGTTGTTCTTTAATGTAGCAGGCAAATTACTAAAAGCATAAGAGTAAGGGTAAGGAGCTGATGTAAGAAAAAGGAATGAAACACAAGGGCTATGACATACACAAATACCAAACAGAAGAACAGGTTAATTTATTGTTAGAAAAGCTTTCAAAGGTAAGTTGAAAACTGTACCTGTGCAGATAGTCTGGTGCTTGATTCAGCAGAGTATAATACTGTCTCACGAACTCCCGCCCAACCAGCAGGGGACTTGGCTTCTCCATCACCATTTCTTTGGTCAACTGAAAACTGAAGGCCAAAATCTTCATGAAAATCTGAACCCACCTAAAGTCTTGCAAATTAAGTTTAGCTAAGTTAATGTATTATTTATTTCATATTTTATTAAACTATCCTAAAACTCAAGCACTATTCAGGGATATAAAAGTATTCTATTTTCTTCTTCCCAGGCACTCCTTAGGGTCCTTAAGCACATGAGAAAGCTCAGTCTACACTGGCTTTGCATAATCAGCCCGAAACGTAGGAGTTATGTCTCACTTCCAGAAATAACTCATATGAAAGGAAAAAGTTATTGCCATTCAGGTTCTTCCAATACTCAAAAGAATATGCATGAAAGTGACAAAAGGTTTCATTTTACCTCATCTACACCGAGAGAAGCAATAACAGATCAATTCTTAATCCAGAAGTCTTCAAACTTGGTCCTTTTTATGACTTGTAGACTTCATGGCTGAGGAATTCTGGGAATTGAAGTCTACAAGTCATAAAAGGACCAAGTTTGAAGACCCCTGTCTTAATCAATCTCTTTTCTTCTAGAAAAGTCCAGCAAAATACTTTCCTCTCCCTTCTGTGGATCACACAAAATAGGACCCTATGAAAAGACCTAGATAGATGTTTCATTTTTATCAATATTTTGATCAAAGTTATCTTGCCTAGGTAGTGAAACAGTGCCTTCTATCTATCAGATATCTGACCACTTTGCTGGCCTTTACTATTTTCTATAGTTGTATGCGTAGGACTCTTTTACCAAGATGCTTTAGCTGTTTTCATGAATTCTGGAGGAGGGGGCTGTATGTCGCCCATTGGATTCAGGTTGCTATAATTTAAATAATAGTTTAAAAAATACAACACTTCCATCAAAATTCTGTCTGGATTTTCCAGAACTTGTAAAATACTCATTGTTACAGCTTACACATTAAATCAAAAACTAAGTAATAGGCTTACTCTTTGAAATATGGTTTACATACAACGGGACAACAAGGACAAATATATCTAAAGAATAAGGGAGGGAAATGTAAATAATAGAAAATTACGGTTACAAAATTGCTGTTAAAAAAATGAGGAGTATACACTATGTGTGTATGTGTGTTATGTTTTGTTGTTTAAAATTTTTTTAAAAAAAATAAAAAAGAAGAAATATGGTTTACATAAATTAGTATCTGATACAACTAGTCAAAAACCTATCTACTTCAAATATTATTGTAATATCAGGTATAAAATTGTTCCTGAGTTTTGAAAATATATGCTACTACCATAATAGGTTAGCCAATCTCAAAATCACATAGAAATGGTTATCATTGAAGCAAAAGTATTCTCTGTAAAATGTAATTTGCTCACATGAAAAGAATTAAATTTTTACACATTCATTAATCTGGATGAAATCTTAGAGGGCTAACTATGTGAAATAACTATATAAGAAACAATAAAAGCTCTCATGGCAACTCAAATACCAATATGTTTCTCATTGTGAACACAATACCTCATCAGAGGCAGGAAAGATCATCTTGATTATTTTCCTACCAAACACATGAACCAACAGGATTAGCAAACATCAAGAGGTAATGAAATACTAGCAGTGAATGTAGATAAATTAATAAATGTAAGAAAATTGTCTATTATACAATGAAACAATTATGGGCATTCATCCACAGATAAGTTTATTAGGGTAAGCAGTATATGAAACAAACATAGTATTCTTACTAACCTTTGGGGAATGGTTATTTGAGGGACCATCTCTCCCTGGTTACATCTACCTATCCCATCAGGTCCAGCAGAAGAGCTCAACTATGGGTACCGCTTATATAGGGGGTTTCATCTGAGAGGACTCAGGACGAGAGCCTTTTCTACCTTGGCACCTGCTGTCTGGAATGTCATTACCCCTGAGGTTAGACCAGTGGTTCTCAACCTTTTTAATGCCGCGACCCCCAACCGGTCGTAAGTCGAGGACTACTCAACCAGCAGTAAGTCGAGGACTACTCAACTGGTGCAGTGTTTGCAGAATGGGACTTTTGGCGGGCTCAGCAGGGCAGAGACAGCCTGGACAATTCCTATTGGCTTTTGAAAGCCAATAGAATTAGACTCTATTCAAGAGAGTCTATTCTATTGGCTTTCAAAAGCCAATAGAATAAAAGGGAGTAGCACAGCTAAGGAAAAGGGGGACAAAAATGGCGGACTGCGTTGTTTGGCGACCCCCGTGAAATGGTCGTTCGACCCCAAATGGGGTCCCGACCCACAGGTTGAGAACCACTGGGTTAAACTGACCTAATCCCATTGGCCTTTCAGAGGAGCCTGAAGACATGGTTCTGGCCTGGGGACCAGTGAAGATATGGAGCTGATAAGTTGGTTGTATTGTTTATAAACTGTTGGATGGTACTCTCCTATATTTTCCAATTGTTTTTTTTTTGTTGTTGTTGATTTTTGTTACTGTTGTTTTTTGTTATTCATTTTTTTTTGTTTTTAACTTTGTGAGCCAACCAGGGTCACATGTGTGAGATGCCTGGGATATATACATTAAATAAATGATAGATGAGAAATATTAATATTCTGAATGGATTCTAGATTAACTGCTTGAAAATGGCAGCAACTAAAGGACTGAAATGTATTTGTTTTTGAATGGTGCATTTCACACTGTTACCTGTTTACTCTTTTTCTCAGAAACCAAAATAATATAAAATATAAAATACAGTTTAACATAAATACTTTTTAAAACCTAGTTGAACTACATAATCCATGTTTTTCTGCAGCAATACAAAAATATCATTTAAAAAAAAAGAAAATATGTCAATCCATGTTGATACTAGGTTACTAAGTTGTGTAACAATATTATAAAGACAGATTTGGCTAGGACAAGTTGAAATCTGGATCTACTGCTTGATCTGGCTTGTATATCTGAACTGTTCTATTGCAGTCTGTTATTGTGTGTAAGCAAAGAAGTCCAGATCTATTATCAAAGGCCCATACAAGGCAACATTGACCAGAATAAATACTAAATGATCCGTGAATTCTTTTAGCTAGGAATTATAGTTAATGTACACAACTCTACCTTTGTTAAACTAATATTTAATGAAGCTAAACAACTTAACAAATGCCTACTTAAAATCACTTGAATGCATGACATTTGAGTTTGAACAGATACATTATATTGTAGGAATCAGATATAAACAATAAGTTATATGATATTCTAAACTGAAATTGGAAACATGCTTAGCAATTGGTTTCTGATATAAAAAATCTTGTAACTTTAAAGTAATGTCAAGAAAATTATTGTGAAGTCTGGCATAAGGTTCATGAAATCTCGAGAGAATGTTGGTATTCTAGCACTCCCTAAAAAGAAACTGTAGGTACTTCTCACTTAACAATAATTCAGGCCAGAATTTCCATCACTAAGTGATGTAGCCATAAAGTGCAACATGATATGACTGCACAGATTAGCGATGTAAACTTTAGCATTTATGCCTGCTATTGTTAAGCAAATCAGTTTGTGCCATTAAGTAAGGGTGTCACCACTGATAACCTCCTGCTGGATTCCCCATTAACTTTGCTGGTAGGAAGCCAGCAAAGGTTGCAAATGGTGATCTGTACACTCTGATGTTGTAACTGGAAGCTGGGCACTAAGGGCCCAGACCCCAATTGTGCAATTATATGCTGCAATCAACAGGAGTTCAAGGCTGGGTGATAACTGTCACTTGTTCAGCACTATTTTAAGTGTAAGTGGTCACTCAGTGAGGACCACATCTACTGTAATTCAACCTGGTGGCAGAATATCAAAGTTTAATAAGTGATGGCCCAATCAGTAATGCTTCTTTTTTACACAAATAGCAATACCACTTCGGCTTATATACCACTCCATAGTGCTTTACAGCATTCTCTGAGCAGTTTAAAAATGTCAACATATTGCCCCCAACAATCTGGGATGGAAGCCGGAATCCACCTTGAGCTAATCAGGATCAAACCCCCGGCTGTAGGCAGAGTTAGCATGCAATTCTGCATTCTAACCATTGCACACACATATACACGCCTCATAAAAATCCACTTTGGGGGTTTAAACCTGTGCAGGAAGAAAATCCATGATATCCAGTATATAAACCAGCACACTGATAACATGTGCTCTCAGAATAGAATTCATATACAGTATAGGAAGTTCCCAGATTAAGAATGAGTTCTATTCCTGACTCTTTTCTTTCGAAAGTCGGAACTTGTACTTACAGACTATGTATTACTAAAAACGGCAGACAACATTGTCCTTTCCTGAAGTGACAAAACATTGAAGCTATGCAATACTTTCACAAACTGACGAAAATGGACAGTATATTAAAAACACATGGCTTCAGTGGTTCCTGAAAGCATTGCACAGCTTCAGCACACTGTTGGCTTGAGGAGACAGTACAGGCAGCCTACCTGTATTCAAGGTTTGTCCTTCAGTTGGACATTCTTAACTGAGGGACTGCCTGTAATTGAAAGGCTTACAAGCCAAATTAAATTCTACTACCATTTTAAACATTTCTATAGCATAATGCTATATTCAACATAGTAAATAAAATTCTAATCTATTTCATTAAACTTACAAGATACACTTAAGTTGGACCACAGGATTCCATCATCTATGGGGTCTTTGGGATCCCTAAGATACTACATCTCTCCTCCATGAATTTCACCGGCTACTGGTCTGCTTCTGAGGGTAGTTCAATGTGTTAGTTATAACCTTTAAAGCCTTTAATGGTGTAGGTCCAGGCTATCTGATGAATCATCTTGTCCTGGTAGGACACATCTGTCCTACTCATGTTGGCACAGATAACCTAGTGCAGATCCCATTAATCAAAGAATTCTGACTTTCCGGATCCAGAAGAGCCTTCTCTGCCACAGTGCCCACCCTTTGGAACATCCTATCCTCTATGCCAAACCTCCTACCCTTCTAGAGGAGCTTGAAGACCTGGGTCTGCCGGTTGGCCACCCACCCATCCATCTTTTCCATTTTTTATTTTATTGTTCTATTATTTTACTTCTGTTTTGTTTGT